AAGCCTGGTATTCAGACAAAGCAGCCATCAACAGGCCCGTAGAGATAAACAGCATCTACAACAGCATCTATTCAAAAGAGACAATAGAAAGGAAAACAAAAAAGCAGAACATCTCACCAGCAATCATCACCCAGATAAGCAGAGATTAACACCAAGACTATCACCAGACATACAATCAAGCAGTAAACAATACCTGAATCAAGGAACTGCCAGAGGGATAAAATAAAACAAAACAAAACCCCCATCCCCACCAACACTGGCAGGGCACGTCACAGTACATAAACAGAGAGCAAACCCCATTCCATTCTAGCACCGAAGATGTCACCTAGCCGGGTAACGAAACGTTTGCAAGAAAACAACCAAGCTCAGAGAACCCCAAGGACTCCACAGTTCAACCCTGAGCTACAAATATTCGCTTCTGGGGTGGCAATTAATCTTTCTGCAATGCTTTCTGCAGTGTTACAACCAAATCTGGGCTATCAGTCCAGATGACAAGGCAGCAGCCAAGAGATACAGAAAATTCTGTTTGCTCCCGTCTAATGCTGTCCAGATTTTTGCAACCCAGGCTAAGTGTTAAAGGCCTTAACAGATGCAGAGAAGAACAGAGATTTGACAAGACCTCATACTACTTCATATCAAATTGCTCCAGTTTGCCCAATGGTAGCGACAGCCTTATCCTCTGGAGGACAGTTCCAATGGTTGCAACTGAAGAAGGTTGCTGATATATGGAAGCAGAGGCAGAAAAAGGGAACAAAGATGGCAACACTAAGAAAAAAAGGGAAGGAAAACCTTTCTGTGAGGAAAGGTTGAAGGAGCTGAGCATATTTAGCCTGAAGAACAAAGTGGAAGCTAATTTTCAAATGTTTGAAAGCCTGCCATATTGAAAAGGGCAAGCTCTAATTTAAATAGGCTTCAGTTACACCAGTGGATAGATCATAAGTGAACAGTTGGAGAAATCCTTTAATGGTATGTGTGTTCAGCAATGGAACCACTTACCAGGGATGTAGAAGATCCAAGGGGGATGGCAGTTCGAATAAAGCAGTACATCAAATTAAGCAGTATAGCAGGTTGAATTATTAAGATTATTGCTGTTGGTGGTGGTGGTAGCAAATGAGAATAATTCGGAAAGATTTTCCATCTTCCGGTTTCATATCAGGTACATCTTTATAACACCTCAAACTATTAGCCCAGAGGAATCAATCATGATTTAAGAGAACCAGGTGATTTCATTCTCCTACACTGTTACAAACATATTAATTGGCCATAGGTAAGCCCATATCTATGAGTTTTAGCTCCCTCCATACATACTATGAGGATAGCAATATTGATCTATCTTTCAAGGATATAGTAAGTGTCTAGTATGTTTATTTATGCAAAAGCCTAGATCATACTGTGTTTCATCTCAGAATGTAATTTACTTAGTATCAAACTAGAAGTAAGTCAATGTTTTCATTTTGCTTTGTTTTTCTTTCTTTCTTTCTTTCTTTCTTTCTTTCTTTCTTTCTTTCTTTCTTTCTTTCTTTCTTTCTTTTTTGAAGCTTTGCAGCAAAGGTGCAGCTTTAGGGAAGCCCTTTGAAGCCTCTCCAAAAGATATTTCAAGTATTGCCAGTTTTATTGAAACCAAGCTTGTCATCTGCTACTTGAAGATGAGAAAGCCTGACCTTGCTCTGAATCATTCTCACAGGTAAAACAAAACACCATGATGCAATCTTTTCAGGGGAGCCTTCAAGCCCATATTTGTAAATGGATGCTCAAAGATCAGTTGGGGGGCGGGGAATGAAAAATTGTACAAGCTCATACATGATCCTGTGATCCAGCAAATGCAATGCTATGTCATCTACACTGTCTTTAGTTCCTAGGAAATGTCAAATGACTTTTAATCTCTAACCATAATGGGAGCATCGTTCAATTCATCTTCAAGGCACCAGGCTAGGTGAAACTACATTTAAGTTTTGCTCTTCCGTTCATAAGTTTTAGAGAACTGTGGATCTAAAATATGGGAGTAGAACCAATATAGAAAATGCAGGGAAGGTTTTTGCTAAACTGTAGTATGCCCTAATGGTAAATAATATCCAGTTGCATAGATGCAATGTTTCGGCTGACAAGGATATTTAAAATTTTCAACCACATGTAAGGCATTCTTACTAAATACTTGTCACGGGGAAAGCAAGCCTATCAGATTGTCCTGAATGAGGGCCTAGGAGAAGCAAAAGCATAGGTATAAAATTAAACAAAACAAGCATACTCCAAAGTCTAATTCCAAAAGAGGTTACTAGCTGTCAGAGAAACATGTAGGACAGTAGTCAATACATTAGTCTAGACCAGTGTTTCTCAACCTTGACAACTTTAAGATGTGTAGACTTCAGCTCCTGGAATTTCCCAGCCAGCATGCTGGCTAGGGAATTCCGGGAGTTGAAGTCCACATGTCTTAAAGTTGCCGAGTTTGAAAAACATTGGTCTAGAAATAAAAGCCAAACCAACTGAGTTCTGATTGAGATTTCATAGAAAAGATCAGAAGTCAGGACTCAGGCATGGTAGAGTTGGTATACCAGGGAGCACTATCAGACATTCAAGATGTACTACTTGCTTCTAGTAATAAGCTGTTCCCAGTAATGAGGTTTTCTGTACTATTACTTGATGGCTGTAGCACAGTTACCAGGATCTAGATGATCACTAGATGGTAACATCTAGATATAAAATATTCCAGTGGACCACAGCTGGTAGCTGTAGGCTGCAGTTTCCCCGTCCTTAATTCAGCTGGGGCTCGTTAGTCCTGATCTGGCTGCAAATCTATGCAGGTTTATTGAACTGCAATGAGGTATGCCTTTACTTCCAAATTCTATCCTTCACAAACGTAACATCCATGTGTAATAGGTGGCTGTGTTCATATGTCTAGATCATAGATGTGGGAAGTGGTCCCAGATTATTGGGGACCGATTCTGCTCTGGCTCCTATGTTACAGAATGGCTTATCTAAGACAGAGGGATCTGAAGAACTGTCTGTGCTATCTTCCTATTTCTTAGAGGATGCCATGACATCTATTGGCAAAATGCCTGAGATTGTTATCAGCTGCTACCCTCTCTCCTTGAGTTCCCTAAAACTATTAATATAGTTTATCTTTGTCCTTCCTTCCTTCCTTCCTTCCTTCCTTCCTTCCTTCCTTCCTGCCAGCTGGGCACATTAAACAAAGCAATGGCTTATAATTATCTACTATTTCTGAGAATGCCTACATGGGCCCCAAAGGCATTTTTTGAAATAAATATGACGTTGGAAGTTGAAGCTTAGTTGTGCGGCATTACAACTTCCCATTTTATTTCCTTTTAATTAAAATCAGGTGGGGCATGGAAGAATTTCAGCAATGCTTGGATGGCCATCTGTGCTTGCAGAATGTGCAGTGAGCAATGGGTTGTACGTGGCAAGTTAACCCCCGTTTTGTATTCCTCCTAGAAGAAAATAAATTGAATCCAATTCACCTAAGCTTTCTTGCCTTCCCAAAATGAACCAGCTCTCTAATGAACTATATGCTACAGAGTCTGTCAAAACTTTTTAACACCACTGGAAGATTTCATGCATGCAAAACAGCTTTTTAATTCTTTTCCCATACTAACATAAGAAATACTTCTTAAAATAATATGCTTGAAGTGGAAGTGGTATGATGGCTGTTTCACCCATCCTAAAGTTAGGTCATAAATTAACCATAGCTATTCATTCCTGTTGACTTTGGCTCAAATTCTAGTCACTCAGATGTCACTCACTTAGGAAAATAACTATGTAGCTAGAAAAGAGATTAAAACTCATTTCATTCTGCTATACAAAGAGCCTTCTGGAAGATGAATGGCTGCTTTAAGTTTGCCACTGTTTCTTAATTACTGGGAGAGGAAATATTGTACAAATTATTCAAGTGATCTTTTTATTAACTTACTCATAGTTGGGTGAGCCACAATTTGGATGATAACACTTGTTATACATTATGTTCATTATGCTGTATAGATATTTGTGGCTCATATTTCACAATAGGAAAAAAGTCTCTTGTATGCATGAATACAATTCATGAAGTAATAAAATTGAGTATTAAAATCTACATTCGCATGGAGAGGTGTCCTTTCAGCCCTGTCCTATCCTGATTTTCCCTAATATCTGATATCATCAGGGTTATTTTTCCACCAAGCAAAATTTCCCCAGCACACTTGCATCCTAAAAATATTTATTTTAGACCCACAATAGACGTTACTAGAGCCAAACTGGCTATCCCATTAGTTGGGTGAATGCAAGTAATAGTGCCTAATATGCAATTAATGTTGCATATTATCCAGTTAACATTATCAGGAATGAACTTTACCAGCAATCCACCAATACAAGTGTCAAAAGTATCTGGGTTAAGATGAAAGGGCAAGGTGACAGAAAGGAGTCTTGATAGGAGTCTGCTACAGACCACTAAACCAGTCAGAAAAAGTAGATGAAGATTTATTAAAGCAGATAACTGAAGTCTCAGAAAAGCATGAAGTGGTTGTGATGAGAGATTTCTGCTACTTAGACATCTGTTGGACCACCTAACACAAGATGTTCGATAAATTCTCGACTTGTGTTGCTGATACTTTTTTTCTTTCAAAAGGTTTATTTGGACACTAGAAGCTCTGCTATCTTGCATTTAGTCTTTACTATCAGGGAGGCGTTTATTGAAGATATTAAGATAGTGGATATTTTGATGCAAGTGAGCATGCATTCTTAGGGTCCTTGACTCTTGATCAACAGATCAACCAACTCCAACCATGGATTTTAGAAAGGCCAACTCTAATAAACTAAAAGAAATAGTAAGGGAGTTGCCACGGGAAGAAACCCTTATAGGTGTTGCAGTCAGCTGGAACTTCTTCAGAAGGGAATTAAGGATAGTGCAGTCCCAAATAATTTCAATCAGGAAGAAAACAAAAGGAGCCAACCTGGTTGAATAGGCAGTTTACAAATAGATAGCTCATCGAGACTAAAAAAAAAGGATGCTTACTGGAAATGGTAGGAAGGAGTAACAACCAAGAAAGTCTACAAAAACTTCACCTCAGAAATATAGAAGGCAAAGGAAGAAAATGAGGCAAAGAGGGTTTCTTCCAGTATGTCAACAGTGAGAGGAAGACAAAGGAGGTAGCAGATAACACAATTAATTCTAGATCACAATTAATTCTAAATGGAAATCTTAACAGATAACCAAAGAAAGCAGGGGAATGATGAAAAACACCTTAGAATATTAAAATATTAGAATATTAAAAGCTAAGGAGAAACATAGCTTATTATATTTAGGAAGGGAAAACGGGGCACACATTCAGTATGGGGGATTCATAGCTTCAAAGTATCATATCAGAGGAGGACTTGGAAGTGGTTATGGACAACTATCTGAATATGAGCCAGCAGTGTGAGAGACCTGCTAGAAGGACTCATACAGTTCCAGGCTACATTGGAAGAAGCATTATATTAAGAATATCTGAAGTCCTTATTCCCCTCTACTTTGCACTGGTGAGACCATACCTGGACACCAGATTTCCAGAAGAATATTGACAGGTTAGAATGGGTTCAAGGGAGGGGACAAAGATAATACAGGAACTTGAGGATAAGCCCTAGCAGGACAGACTAAGGAAACCTGGGATGTACAATCTGGAGAAAAGACTCCAAATACTTGGTTTCAGTGTTCAGGTACATAAAAGGATGCCATAGGGTACATACCCAGGAACTATATTCCACTGCCATAGAAACTAGAAATAATAATGGGTATAAGTTGCAGCTACATCTATTTAAATATAAGGAAAAACTTTCCGTCAGTAAGATCTATATAACAGTGGCACAGTCTACTACAATGGCTGTGGGCTCTCAGTCCCTGGAAGTTTTTCAGAAAAGACTCTCAGATGCCTCTTAAATATGTTTCATTGTTTTTCTTTCACACTGCAGAGGGTTGAACTGGATGGTGCTTGTAGTCCCTTCCAAATTTACATCCTTGGATTTTATCATCCTTACTGAAGATAGAAAGAGTAGGGAGCCAGCTGCAAAGTAGCTGCAAAGAGTAGGGAGCCAGCAAACTTTGTAGGAAATGGGAAAATGGGAGAACATAAGAACATAAGCAGTGGCCATCTAGTCCAGCAGTCTGTTCTCACATTGGCCAACCAGCTGCCCAAGGAATCCCACTAGTCTCCCAGTAGATGGCCTTCAGAGGAAGTCATACTGCCATCAAGGCTAATAGCCATTGATCCCCATGACTTCCATGAATTGATCCCAACCCTTTTTTAAAGCCAGCCAAGCAGGTAACCAGCACCACATCTCATGGTAGTGAATTCCAAAGTCGAATTAGGAAGGAAGGTCAGCCCCTGTAATCTCAGTGGAAATTGCACAAACACAAACACACACACACACACACACCCAACCATCTGCATAAGGAATCAATTCTCTATCAGTAGTTAAAATTTGGATGGGAATTTTTAAATGTGTTTCTGTGCTTATAAATCAGCCTAAGAAAAGGTAATGGAATCCAACTCCTCATATCCTCTTTTTTCTGGCAAAGCGGTCTTATATTGCTCCCTCTTGGCTAGTTTGCTTTTCTCCTTCTTGACTGCTTACCTTGCTCCCTCTTGGCTACCTTTCCTTTCAAACAGAGAAGATTGCTCCACATTTCTCTTAGATATTTATTAAGGCTTTGGTGCTCCTTAA